GCTCAGCTCACCCATCTTCCAAGGGCCCACGACAGAGGTTTTGCCCACCTGGGTGGAGAGCAGGAGCTCCCCGGGGATGTGACTCGGAGCCGGGGGAGCACGGGGTGGGAAATGGAGAAAATTGTTCTGTCCTCGCTGCTGGGGAGAGGACACGGCTGCCAGCAAGAGCCTGCTCTGGTCACTGCGTGGGGGCAGCGACCGCTCATCGCCCTCGCAGGGAGCGGCGGTGACAGCGCGGGGGGCGCCGGGGGACATCGGGCGGCCCCGCCCGGCTGGGCCTGCCGGGCTCTCGGCAACAGCACCAACAAACGCCCGTCTTTTGCGTGTCCCATTGCCCCAGTACCAGTCCGGGGAGGGAACAGGCAGCCACACGAGGGAATTAAATGCTAAGATCAGCCCGGCAGGAAGGGACGCTGAAGAACGTGAAAAACCCTCAACATTGCAGAGCCGCCCCGCCCTCCGAGCTCCGCTCGGGGCCGCATCCGCGCCTCACAGGAAATGCTGGGTGCGCGCTCACGGCCTATATTAACCCTGCCGGGTTGTGATTGGCTGAGGGCGGGAGCTGGCGGCGTCGGATTGGCGGGGAGCAGCAGCCCCTGCCGCGGGATTGGCCGGGGTTGCGCGCGGGCCGCCTGAGGGGGCGCGCGGGGCTCCCGCCCGAACCCGCGGAGCCCCCGGGGACCGTTCGGGGACCGTTCGGGGACCGTTCGGGGACCGTTCGGGGACCGTTCGGGGACCGTTCGGGGACCGTTCGGGGACCGTTCGGGGACCACCCGGGGACCACCCGGGGACCGTTCGGGGACCGGCGGGGGGGACCCCTCGGGGACCGCCCGGGGACCTACCGGGGATCGCTCGTGGACAGGCGGGGACGGCTCGGGGACAGCCCGGGGACCGCTCGGGGACCACCCGGGGACAGCCCGGGGACCGCCCGGGAGGACAGGCAGGGGGACAGGCGGGGACCGCCCGGGGAGCGCTCGGGGACCACCCGGGGACCACCCGGGAGGACAGGCGGGGAGCGCTCGGGAACCGCTCGTTCGGGGGATGCTCGCTCGGGGGTCCCGACCCTGCTCCCCCCTGCTCGGGCCCGGCCCCCCGACCCCTCCATCCCCGGGACGGGGCCGGTGCTGCGCCCCCCCCCAGAGCCCCGGTACCGAGCCGGGAGAAGGCGGAGACGAGCCCTGCGTGCCGGCACCGGCGCGTTTATTGCTCCGCTCCGCAGGACGCGGGGACACGCGGGGAGCGGCAGGAACGGGGGCGGTGCCGTCCTGGGGAGGGGCTGCGGGGCTCGGGGACCCCCGGGGGGCTGCGGGGACCTCCGGGGGCTGCGGGGACCCCCGGCTCAGCGCAGCTGCAGGAGCAGCGCTGCCAGCACGCCCAGCGCCGCGGACAGGAGCGGGGCGCCGGCGCCGGGCGGGCTCACGCTGCTGCTGGCCGTGGCGTTGCTCGGGGCAGCATCTTTCGGGGGAGACGCCTCCTCCTTGGTGGCCTCCTCCTTCGCCAGGCTGAAGGTCTGGGGAGGAAAAGAGCTTCAGATATCCCTGCCAACAGCAGCACGGCGGTGAAAGCGCCGAGACCGCTCCCAGGATGGTCCTGGGGGCGAAAGGAGTGCCCACAGTGGCAGGACACACAGCCTGCTGTCTGTTTCCCTCCACACTCCAACCCTGGGGCTGTCCCAAGGAGGAGAGGGAAGTGAGCTCTCCCTGGAATCGCTGCCCTACTGCTAAGCAGGGCCTTTCAGAAATCAGGGGGGAAGTGGAAGGCGGGGAGTGGTCTCTGCTCGGCGAGGAAGTGGTGAGAAGGTGTCGGGCCACGGCCCTGCAGAGGAAGAAGAGGTGGGGTGTGGGGAACGCCCGTGCTGGGAGCGAGGGGCAGGGGAGGAGGGGGCCCCGAGCCCGGGCTGTGCAGGCGCTGTGTGAATGCAGCACGGCCGGGCTGGCCAGCTCAGGGCTGGCTCTTTCCCTCTCTAACACTGCTGGAAAAGCGATGCTGCTCCCCACTGTGAAGCACGCTGTCCTGCATCCCTCCTCAGGGTCCCTCCGGAGATGGGGAAGGACAGGAACAGAGCCCAAAACTCTGCTCTCTTTGCCACACTCTTGTTCTCTTTGCCTGCTTTACAGAGGGGGAATCCCAAAATGTAAATGCAGCCTGTGGAGGCAGCAGCAGGTCCCAGCTGTGGGCAACTTCATGAGTGAAATAAGCACAGACAGATCTGGCCCCGTTACTAACATCTTGTAGGGGGGAAAAAAAATCCCAAAAGCTGCCCCAAAGTGCATGGTGCTCTCCAAAATTGCTGGTGGGTTCCTCCCTCACACCCAGGAGAGCCCCAGCGTCCCTCAGCACGGCTCTCGGGCCATGGAGGCCCCAGCAGAAAGGGAAATAACAGCCAGAGGTGAGAGGAAACCACAGGCGTGTGTGCCCCTCCAGCTCAGCATCCCCACTGCAGGAGAGGCTGGAAGATGGGCTGGAGAGCCCTGCCAGGGTTAGAGAGGGTGGAAGATGGACTGGAGAGCCCTGCCAGGGTTAGAGAGGGTGGAAGAGGGGCTGGAGAGCTCTGCCAGGGTGGAAGATGGGCTGGAGAGCTCTGCCAGGGTTAGAGAGGGTGGAAGATGGGCTGGAGAGCTCTGCCAGGGTTACAGAGGGTGGAAGATGGGCTGGAGAGCTCTGCCAGGGTGGAAGAGGGGCTGGAGAGCCCTGCCAGGGTCACAGAGGGTGGAAGATGGGCTGGAGAGCTCTGCCAGGGTCACAGAGGGTGGAAGAGGGGCTGGAGAGCTCTGCCAGGGCGGAAGATGGGCTGGAGAGCCCTGCCAGGGTCACAGAGGGTGGAAGATGGGCTGGAGAGCCCTGCCAGGGTCACAGAGGTGAGTACTACCCTAAAGCTAAAGAAAAGCATTAAAAGCACCCCGTGGAAGAGTTTGCAGCTCCCAGAGCAGGGCACAAACCCCTTGGCGAGCCCGCAGCGCTGAAAGCCCAGGAGCAAACCCCAAGGCAGAGGCGGGCTGGGCAGAGCCGGGAGCCAGGCTCCCTCCTTACCAGGCACAGGGCGAGCAGGGCGAGCAGGGCGAGCAGGCGGGCGCGCTGCGGGGGCGGCATGGCCGGGCTCTGCCGCTTCCCCTCCGCTCCCAGCCTTTAAGGGCGGCCGCGCACCAATCGCGCCTCCCTTCCCCAAAAAGCCGCAGCTCGGGGAAGGCGCAGCCGCTGCCGGCGCCGGCGGGGAAAGGGTGCCAGACCCGGCGTGGGATCGGGAGATGCTCCTCTGCATCCCCGCTGCTCCCTGGGATGGCAGGGACAAGGGGCAGAATGGAGCAAATTTCAGTTAGATATTAGATAGAGGTTGATATATATTAGATATATGTGGATATACTGGATATATGTTGATATATATTAGATATAGGCTGATATATATTAGATAGAGGTTGATATATATTAGATATATGTGGATATACTGGATATATGTTGATATATATTAGATATAGGCTGATATATATTAGATAGAGGTTGATATATATTAGATATAGGTTGATATATTAGATAGAGGTTGATATATATTAGATAGAGGTGGATATATTTTAGATAGGTGTTGATAGATAGAGGTTGATATATATTAGATACATGTGGATATACTGGATATATGTTGATATATATTAGATATAGGTTGATATATATTAGATATAGGTTGATATATTAGATAGAGGTTGATATATATTAGATAGAGGTTGATATATATTAGATAGAGGTTGATATATATTAGATATATGTGGATATATATTAGATATATGTGGATATACTGGATATATGTTGATATATATTAGATATAGGTTGATATATATTAGATAGAGGTTGATGTATATTAGATATATGTGGATATACTAGATATATGTTGATATATATTAGATAGATGTGGATATACTCGATATATGTTGATATATAGTAGATATAGGTTGATATATATTAGATAGATGTTTATATATTACATATAGGTTGATATATATTAGATATAGGTTGACATATTAGATAGATGTTGATATATATATTAGATAGATGTTGATATATTAGCTGTTAATATATTAGATAGATGTTAATATATATTAGATAGATATTGATATATTAGATAGATGTTGATATATATATTCGATAGATGTTGATATACTGGATGTTAATATATTAGATAGATGTTGATATATATATTAGATCTATGTTGATATATTATATATATAGGTATATAAATATCTATATATAGATATTTTCAGTTCTCCTGGGGTCACTGAATAGAGCTTAAAGACCAAGTGGCAAAGTAAGATAAAAGGATGTAAAGGGATGAGCACAGGATGCAAACAAGGCTGGGAGCAGTGGAGAAACAGGTAAAAAGGACTACAGCGGGGTTTTTGGAAGTATGTAAAAGAACAGCACATCCCGAAGGAAGAAGTTCAAGGAAAGGCTGAAACTCCTCAGGCTCTGCTTCTCCCTGGGGCCTCCCTGTGCTCGCACCCACCGAGGAGTGACCGAAACCCTCCCTGGAGCACCGGGAGCGTTGGCAAATCGCAGCCCAGGCTGGCGGGAGCAAACCTCCTTCCCTCCAGGTGGAGCTGGAGCCAAGGCATCCCTTGGGATTTCGGATCCTGAGTGAAGGGGGAAACGCTTCCTCTGACCCCCCCAGCTCCGCTCTGCAGCTCTCTGAGCTCCCCCACCCTGCAGCGCAGGAAGCAAGAGCGACCTGGTTATTTTAATGTAAAAAAACATATAAAATATTTTATTTTAACAGGGTTTGCAGTGAATAAAGGGACTGGGAGGAGCTGAGGGCACACAGCTGCTGGCTGGCTGCGTGCTGCTGGAGCGCATCGCCGTGAGCTCCTGGCTTCCTCTTCTGCAGAAAATAAAAAAAAAAAAAAAATCACCCGATTTAGCTCGGCTTTGCTCTTGGGGCAAGCAGAAATTAAAGTCTCTGAGCACAGTCAGCATCCCCGGCAGTGTCCAAGGCCGGGCTGGGAGCAGCCCGGGGCAGCGGGAGGTGTCGGTGCCGAGCCGGGGTGGGATGGGGTCAGCTCTGGGGTCCCTGGAGCCCAAACCCGTCCGTGCTTCTGCGCACCCCCATCAAAGGAGGCAAAACTGGGGGGAAGGTGAGGGAAGCGGGAGGAGCTGCGCGGCGACAGGAGCCTCGGGGCGGGCTGCTGGGTGTGTGCGGAGCGGGGCTGAGGAGAAAAACGGGACCGGTCCCGGTCCGGTCCCGGTGTCCCGGGAGAGCGCGCGCGGTGCAGGCTGGGAATTGTAGTTCTGTGGAATACAGCGCCCACCACGTGACCAGCGCCGGGCCAATCGCAGCGGCTCCCGCGTCGCCGTGGCAACCGGCCGTAAACAAGATGGCGGCGGGGGGTGAGTTTCCAGGCGAGGCCTGGCCGTGTCCCGGGCCTGGGAGCCCCTGCAAGGCACCCTCCGCTCCTGCTCCGGGGCACAGCACTGGGAGAGAACGCGGGGGGCAAAGCCCTGAGGGGTCTGGGGGTTCTGGGCCAGCAGCTTTTGGTGACACCCCCGGCCAGAGCCGTTCCTGTGGCTCCCCTCTCGCACACACAGCCAGGAGCCAAGGGGTTTCCACCCGAAAAGTCCTCCCTGCTGTGGCAGACCTGCAGCCCTGCTCACAGGTATTTGTGCTTTCAGGTGCAGCTCACGCTGACGTGGAGCTCACGTCCTCCCTGGCAGAAAAAATCTCTCTGTTGGAAGAAAAAGTAGAGAAACAAGCACAAGAAATCCAGCTGAAGGTAAAAGTCAGCCTCTTGCTGAGCCTGCTCTGTCCCCTGCCACGGGAGTTCCACCTCTCAGACCTTGTGTGGGCTCAGTTTGTCTGTGGCCTGCTGTTAATTACCCAAATGAGCCCTTTACACAGCAGCAGAGCAGTGGATCAGGCCTTGGGGTGGCAGAGGGGACAGTCCCTGCTGGGATTCCTTGCAGCACTGACTCTCAGCACCCTCAGCAGCTCTTTGGCTTCAGAATTTATTTTTTCCCTCCTGTGGTGGTGCAGCCCTCCTTTTGTTTTTTGAAACAGCAGCTGCTCACACAGCAGAGTCCTCCTGGATCAGCCCTTTCTGCATCACTGACTAGAGTAAATACCCTTTAAAATCTTAGAACAAATACCCTTTAAAATATTGGAACAAATACCCTTTAAAATCTTGGAATAAATCCCATTATTTTTGTTTGGTTTGGTATTTTTAAGAAGTGGCTGCAGAGATGCTGGTTCAGTTTCTAGACCAGCCCCTCCCCACAGGTCTGAGCAGGAGCCCCCAGTGCAGAGGGAGGACTGGGAGCTTCTCCTGGAGCTCTGTATTTGTCCCAGCCCTCACCTGAGTCTGCTGAAGGTGTTTGTGGGCTGATCCAGCCCTGCTGTTGTGCCAGCTGTGCCTGGAGCCAGGAGCTGACCCAGGCCATTGCTCTGCCCCTGAAGGACAGGAGGATTGCTGAGCTGCAGGAGAAGATAAAGACTCTTCAGGAAGGAGAAGGTAAAAGTTGTTCTACCTTTGGCACCTGTGGGAGAGCTGCAGAGCTCTGGCAGGGCAGCTGGATCCTGGAATCCTGGAATCCTGGATGCTGTCCTGGGCTCCAAAATCCAGGAGCCTCCTTGGTGAGAGGTGGCAGCCACGCACAGGGGACTTTCCCCAGGGCAGAGCTGCACTTTGTGCTGCTCCTCTGGTGCAAACCATCATTTCCTGACCTGTTCCTTTGTGTTTCTGCTTTTCCATGGCTGTGGGGCCAGCCCCAGGCAGCCGAGGGCGGCCAGAAGAGCAGCAAACACTGCTCAAACAGCAGGAAAGCAGCTGGGAGAACCCCAAAACCCTCTGGGAGGCTGCACAGGATTCCAGCCTGACTGAACTGAGCCCTCAGTGAGTCACTGGAGGTGTTCTGCCCTGGATCCAGCAGCTTTCCAGCCCCAGCTGGAGCCCAGCCACCTTCCCTCAGCTCCCTGTGTCAGGGCCGTGCTGAGCTCTGCCTCTCCTGAGCTCTGAGCACAAGAGTGGCTGTCAAACCACGGCCACGAGCTCTGCAGCTCCTGCTGCAGCCGCTGCCACCCCGCCGGGATCCAGCTGCAGGGGACACCTGCACCTTCTGGCTCCCCCAGGCCGAGGGGACAAGCCATTTCCACTCCGTGGTGGCCAGCAGCAGCCCTCACCTCAGCTCCCACGGCACAGAACTGCCCCGGGGCTGTTCACAGCTGCTTTTTAGCCTCTCAGCACCACTGTCAGACACTGCAGGGGGAATTGGCTCGCTCAGCCCGGTGTCCCGGGGCTGGGAGGTCGCTGAGCACAGCTCTCTGCCCCGTGTGGCACAGGAGAGCCACAGCTCTTCCCGGGGGACAGGAGCTGCAGCTTTTCTCTTGCAGATGTTTCTGAGCCGTGCACCTCAGGAGAGCTGGAGGTGAGGTGCCTTCAGCTGCAGAGGCAGGTCTGGGAGATGGAGGTGAGGCTGCTCTGCTTGCCCCGAGCCTCCCCTTTGCTTTGGGGTCACTGCAGTCCCAGCCTGGCCTTTTCCAAGCTGCCCCTTTGGTCCTCAGAGCCCTTCAGCTCTGAGAAGAAGGAGCAGGCTGGATGTGAGCAGGAGAAGGTTTTGCACACCCAAACCCCTGTGCCTCCTGCCAGCTTCATCCCGATTTCCAGGGCTGCAGCTCCTGCAGCCTTGGGAGGTTCCTCTGACTTTCCCCCTCCCTTTCCCTGCTGTCACTGCCCTTCCAGGGCCAAGCAGCCCCAAGACAAACCTGCTCCACCTCCCCCAGGCACAGCTGGCCCCTCCCGGGCTCCTTTTCCCAGTTTTGAGGCTCTGGCTCTGCTCCTGCAGCGGTTCCTGAGTGACTACGGTCTGCTTTGGGTTGGAGAGGCACGGCAGCAGCTGGAGGACACGGAATCCACCCGGGATGGAGAGGAGCTGCCAGCAGGGAGCCTCTGCAGGCCGGGTAAAGCACAGCACGGCTGCAGCTGCTAGCCCAGACCAGGCAGAGTAGATCAGCACCAAAACATCAGGATTTGGGTCTCGAGAATTTGGGATCCCGGGCCAAGATCTTCACACCAGTCCCTCTCAGGGACACAGACAATGGAACAGGAGCTCAGCAGGAGGTTTAATTTTATATTCCTGTGGTTTGTACACCCTTCTGGGGAAGAGGAGAGAGCCTGATGGCTCAGCCCTCAGGAGGAGGGCTCAGAGCAGCTGTTTCCTGCAGAATTCACAAACCCTGCACCTTTGAGGCTTGGCTGCTCTAATGACATTGACACAGGGCGGGTGGAAAACGGAACCAGGTGCTTTGTGTACACAGGAGCTGTAGTAACCTACCCACAGAGCTGGCTCCAGCAGGGACTATTGTTTGCTTTCCTCCCAGCCACCGTGTGAGGGTTTAACTGGGACCTGGCTCTGCTGCCTGGGGCCCAAGCAGCTTTGGCACTGCCTCCTTAGGGAGTGGAAACAGAGGGAAAAAAGAAAATTGTTGGGACTGTAAAGCCAGTGCTGCTTCCTAACCACCATGGAAATGTTAGACTAGAGCTTCCCTTAGATGCAGGAGGGGAGAGACAGAGGGAGATCAGCAGAAACAGTTTTGGTTTCAGCTCACTAACCCTTTTCACATCATCCTTTAGCAACTCATAAAAAAAGCAGAACAACCAAGGGCTTCAACTCAACTAAGACCTTCCCTCTCATTTCCTCTTCTGACTTCTTTCCTCTGTCTCATCACAACCCTTGCCCTGCTTCACCCCCAGAGCCCCAGACAAACATCCTGGCAGAGTCCCTGCCCTGCTGCAGGCAGCTGCCTCTGTTGACACTGGCACCTCCTCAGTGGTGATGCACTGATCCAATCTCATCCAGCTGCTGCAGCTCCTCATCCTGCACGGCACAGGGACAGCACAGCCCTCCCGAGAGCATCAGCGAGCCTGGGAGCCTGGTGTGGGCTCCAGGAGCTGCTCAGGAGCTGCTCTGGGGCTCTGAGCTGCAGCCCCAGCTCTGCATCCCTGCCCTGCCCTTGTGGTTCAGCACACACCCCGGGGACCTGGCAGGGCTGTGCCCCAGAAAAAGGCTGCAGCACATTCTGCAGGTGTGTGAAAGGCAAAGCACAGGCAGCCCAGCAGTGTCAGGGCTCAAACTCAGCTCAGATTCAAACAGATAAATGTCCTGCCCCTAACTCTGGTCCCTCTGCCACAGGTGAGGCCGTGCTTCGCAAGCAGCAGATTGATTTTGATTTAATCCTGGAGAACATCAAGGATTTGAACTCGCTGGTGGCAGAGGGCGTTTCTCAGATCGAGCACACGGCCCGGGGGGCTCGTTTGAGGTGGCCAGAGCCCCTCCCTGTGACCCTGTACCGAAATGGGATCACCGTGGGACACGGAGCCTTCCGGCCCTACCAGCACCCAGCCACGCAGGTATGGGAAGGGCTGAGAGGAGCCAGAGCCATCCTGGAGCCATCCTGGAGCCCACCCAAGCAGCATGGGGCTCCTGAGCTCATCTCAGTCGTGCAGAGGAGCCCAGCTCCATCCCCACAGTGCCTTTAAAGCCTGTCCCGTGCAGTCATTTCTAGAGATGCAGATTCTGTGCCTTTGATGCACACCTTTCTGCACAGCACCACAAACAGGAGCTGCCCAGCAGGAAAAAAAAAAAACAAAACAAAATCAGTCCAGAGCTCAAGAGCAAGTGACCAGGAGCTCTGCTGTTGTTTCAGCAATGCCTGCAGGACATCATGGATGGTTATTTCCCCTCCGAGCTGCAGCCTCGCTACCCCGACGGTGTCCCCTTGCAGGCAAGTGCCTCTTGGGCACGCTGGGTTCTGCTGGGTGGTGCCCAGGGAAGGGGAGGCTGAGGTTTGTGCTGCTGTGCAGGTGTGTCTGGGGCCAGGGGGGGCATGGAGGGCACCTGCAGCAGCCGTTACAGGAAGCCTTTCAGCAGCAGGGCTCGAGGGTTCCTGTGCCTCACTGAAGCTGCCCTGGAACAAGGCTTCTGAAGGCTCAGCAGGCTCTGTAAGAGAAGCAGCACACGCAGGAAATTAAGAGCTATGTCACAAAAAGGAGGGGGGGAAAAAGTTCTCAAGTAGTTCCCCTGAAAAGCTCGTAACGTGAGAGTGAACGGTACCTTTTAAAGAGGATGTCGTGAGTTTGTTTTGCCACAGTTTAAATGGATTTGGCCACCTGAGGTTCTCTTGGGCCCCAGTTTTTGATTTCTCAGAAACGGCAAAGAGCCAAAGCCACATTTGCGGGCAGAGAGCCCCAGAGGACTCAAATCTAGGTCTTGGAGTGCACCTGCAACGTCAGCAGGCACAAGCAGAGGCTGGACTTTCCCTGTGCCACGGAGAAACCAGGGCACAAGTGCCCGAGCAGGACAAGGTCAGGCCAGCTGGAGCGAGCTGTGGGGTCAGGAAGTCACATGGAAAGGGGATTGTGCAAAGCTCTGGGGGCTGAGGCTCCCCAGAACCTGAGCATCCTCGGGTTCGTTGGGGTTTCCAACTGCTGTGGTTTGTTGGGCTCGGGGGCAGCAAGAGGAGCTTGAGCAACAGTCAGATTTGCTTACAGGTCACTGACAGGAGGGACGTGGTGTTTCAGGAGCCAGACCTTCCCGGGAGCTTTCCTGGCCTTGGCCAGGTGGTGGGAACTTCAGAATCCAGCAGAGTGCAGGAAACCTCCAAGATCCCAGGTAAAATCTTGAACCTGCCTGGAAAATGCTGCTCCTTCTTGAGGAGGAGGATTCTTAAACCTTGCCAGGGCAGTGCAGGTGGTAGGAGGGGAATGTGGGGGTCTCAACCCTTCTGGGTCAGGGGCTGGTGTTGCCTCAGGAGCTGGGAGGCAGCAGCACACACAGCATCCTCTCAGCATTAATCCTGCTGAAGGATGAGATGTGCCAAGTAATAATAAAATAATAGAAATTCAGCAGGTTTCCAAAAACATATGTGCCCTGTGCCTTTCTGAAAGGCCAAGCTTGCTTCCACCTTCACCACACCAAAGGATGCTGAGGTAACCCTGCAGGCCTGGGGGGAGAGCTGCTTGCAAACACTGCTCCTTTCAACCAGCTCATTCCAAAAACCATCAAGGCAAATTTACCGTAACTGCACCGAATTTGGGACAGTTTCTCTTCAGGCTTTCACAACAGAATATGGGACATCAAAGGCCACAGATTCCTCATTTTGCTTCGAGATACTTGCAGTCTGTGTAAGCAGTATCTGACAGGGCTGGGAAGTCAAACAGAGACAGAAATCAGTGGGTCTGTGGGTGCATCACTAAATAACCCACCACGTTTCTCACCATGTGAGAAACAGCTGCCTGCTTCCATACCACTGTGCTCAGTCACCTCAAGGCTAAGCTAAATATCCAAGCAGCAAAATAAAGAATTGTCCAAGCAGAAAGGACTGGACTCCTACAAATACACCCTCACAAGGTGAAAAATGTCCCAGTGTGTAAAAACGGTGATATTCCAGTTCTTCAGAGCAGAGCTACCTGCTGTGCATCCCAGCTCTGCACTGCACAGCTCTCACTGTTGATGCTGACAATCAAACATTTCCTGGGGCACAAAGTGGGACAACCTCAAGGCAGGAACCCGAGAGCTGCTCCGGGTCTCGCTGGGCTGCGAGAGCTCTCCCTGCCGGCTGCTGCTCTCCCCTTTCACCAAACCTGCCTTTTCTGCAGGCAAAACGTTTGTCACACAGCTCTCACACAGACTTGTCTCCCCTCTGCCCTGCTAGGTCCCAAAGCCTCCGAGGAGCAGGCTGCCGAGGAGCTTTCCCAGCCCCTGAAGCACAGAGGGAGCGCGGGCAGCGCCCGAGGCGCGGCTGGAGCAGCAGCCCAGGTGTGAGGGAGCTCCCCTGACACCCCAAGAGGAGAGCAGGGGTGATGCTCTGTGCTCAGCTCCCTGCACAGCACCCACACCCCCTCCCTGGGCCTCTCTCAGCTCCGTGGAACCTCCCAGAGGGGCTGCACCCTAACCCTGACCCTAACCCTGACCCTTGCCTCGTGGCTGTGCCAGCACTGGCTGCTCTCCACTCCTCTGACACTCTCCTGCTTTGCTTGCAGGGCTCTGATGGGCAGCAGAGCAGCAGGGAAATCCTGGTGGAAACACCTGGGCTGGCTGCCCTGGAGAGGTACAGGTACAGCCCCCTACCCCCTGCCCTGTCAGGATCTCCCCTTCCTCCTGTTCCATCACTGCAGGTTTAGTTCAGGGAGTTCAGTTGAGGAATGGACTTTTCCCCTTTTAGACCTTAGAAACAGACAAAAGGCCAAGTTTGGTCCTTTGGGAAAACCACTGAATTTTTCATGGCAAACATGCCATATTTTACATCTCTAACAAAAGGCTTCTGTTGTTCAAAATGTCACTTATTTATGTGAAAGTTTTCCCGACAGCAAGCCAAGGCCTAAGAGTTTGTCACCACTGAAGGAGCTTTTTGCAGTCGTGTTAAATGGAGAACCCCTCCAGGAAACTGTGGTGGGAGGCCTCACCAGCAGCACTTTTCCACTCAGTCTTCTGGCAAGCCAAGACCCAAATAACTAATGAAAAAAAAAAAAAAACCCAAGCAGATTATTTTTAATCAAAGTAGGGCGAAGCACTTACCAGACAGCCCTGGTTTGAAATGAAAAAGCTAAAAAAGGCCCATAACCCTCCTGAAGGCACCTTCAGGCTGGGAGAGCACAGCAGCAGCTTGGGCTGCGGGTTGGTCTGGGTGCTCAGACACGGCCTCACTCACCTCCAGGACATTCCCAAACACAAAACTCTGCCCTGCTCTGGTCACGGAGGCTCTGCCTGCTGCGTGGAGCTCCCTCCTGGGCTGACAGGGCTCTCTGGGCCAGGGTGAAGCCAGCTGAGCAGGCTGGAGCTCCTGAGCTCTGCACCCTGCGCGTCAGGTCCGAGAGCGGGGAGCAGACGTACGAGCTGAGGATGCTGCTCACGGACACCATCGGGGACCTGCGCCGGCACCTGGCCCACATCAGGTAGCCAGCCCTCCCTCCCCTCCCTGCCTGACTCTGCAGGACCCCAGAAAAGGGTTCTGGATGTCCTGGAGCTTCAAACATCAGCCTGAGCTGGGTCACAGCCCTGTGCCCACCTGACGCTCTCCAGGCAGCGGTGTCCTGTCCTGAGAAGCTCAGAGCATTTCATGCCCACCTTTGCCACGCAGCAACAGAGACAAACTTCTTTTGTCCTCCCCAAATTGCCATCAGATCCAGGCCCATCGCTGCCTTTGCCTCCTCCCAGCACTCACCCAGCTGGTGCCAGCCTTCCCAAAGTGCTGGAAGCTGAGCTGCAGCCTTGGCTTGGCTCAGCCAGCTGTGTCCCAAAACACCTAATGCTGCACAAGGGCTCCTCAGCCTCCTGGGGACAGCTCCAGATGGCTCAGGGCCCCCTTTGCTGTCCCCTCTTGCCACTCCTGCTGCAGGCCTGGCCTAGTGTGAGCCCGGGATGAGCTCAGTGCTGGTGGGATGCACCTCCTTCCTCCCCAGTGCAGCTGTGCCTCTGGCCAGGCTGCAGTTTGGGCTGGAAGCTCTTTTTTTCTGCTCTTGCATAACCACAGCTGGATCAGTCAAAACCTTGGGGAATCCCACGAGCAGGAGATTGTGCTGTTCTTTCCTAGGGGTGGAAACTCTGACTATGAGATCATCAGCACCTTTCCCCAGAGGGTGTACACGGACAGCTCCAGGAGCCTGCAGGAATGTGGGCTGGTCCCCAGGGCCTCCTTGCTGCTCCGAAGGAGAGACCCCCCCCAGCAGCAGGGCAGGGGGCTGCAACCAGCCTAAAGCTGCTCACCCCCAGCTCTGCACAGGGAGGGAGCTGCCTCTCACCTTACCCGACCTGCCCTAGCTGGGAAAAAGGGAGAGGTTTTCTTTCCAGATTCAGTTTCACTGTGCCACTGCCTGGATGGAGAAGAGCTGGGAGCAGCCTTTGGCAGAGGGGCCAGCCCAGTCCTGCTGTTCCCCAGCACAGGGACACTTCCAGCAGCTCACTGGGCTCCAGGCCTGGCTCCTCACCTCTGTGCAGGTTACACAGGCTGACCCCTGCCCAGGGGAGCCTGCCAGCCTCACCCCAGCACTGGGCAGATGTTTGCTGTGCCCGGGGACTGGAGCAGCAGGATGGAACACACAGCCAGGGGCAGTTTGCTTTCTGCACACAGCTGCTCCCTACGGATCTCACCTGAGCACAGACAGGCTCAGTTCCACGGTCTGTGCCGGAGCTAAACCTGAAGGCCTTGAGCCATTGCAGTGCTGGGGCTGAGCCAGACTCGGCTCAGCCGGGAGATCCTGCTGCTGGCTTTCCTGTACGTGCACAGCTCCTTCCTTTGGACAGCCCCCAGCCGCAGCGGGGCCCCGGCTCCAGCCTGCCTGGAGGTACCCGCCCTCCTCCTCCTCCTCCTTCCCGGCTGGATGCTGCAACAGGACACCGTGTCACTGGAGAGCAGCATAATCCCTCTCTGCCCAGCCCTGAACAAAGCATCTTCCTGCCTGGCCCGTGGGCTGGGGCTGCACTTTTCCCTTTCCCTTTCCCCAGCACATTCCTCCCATTCCAGCTGTGACAAGCTCTCACTTGACTCCCAGCTGACAACACTCCCACTCATGCGAGGCAGGGCCTTCTGGCAGGTTCCCTCTTCACAGACCCAGCCCTCATTAAAGGCTCCCAATAAACCCCTTTATTCCAGCTGCACTTTCCACTTCCTTTAGCTTCCAAAGGCACGGCTGAGCTCTTCCCAGAGCCCTCTGCCCAGAGCTGCACGACTCAAACACGGGAAGCAAAGCAGCTGCTTCCACAGCTCCCGTGAGCAGTGCCTCAACCCACACAGCTCTCCCTCAGCTTCCTTTTTCCACCTGCAGCAGATCCAGGAGCAGCTGTTTCCCCTGCCCCTCTGCGTCCTGGTCTAGGCAATCTCGGTGCCAAAGGTTTGTTTTTCACTGCTGTCCCTGCCCCGGGCTGCCTCTGTGACCACGCAGAGGAGAGGAATGCTCTGGTACCTGTCACTGCTGCGCCGTAGGACATTCAGACACGTCCTGTGAGCCTCTGATTAGCAGCAGCAATCTAAGGTGTTAATATCTTTGTGTCAGCCTGCAGCAGCAGGTACAACCCACTGAGCTGGAAATGACTCACAATCCTTAGGTAGGGTGATGTTTAACCTGTAGCCAAAATAAAACCGAATTTAAAAGAAATGCAAGAGCAGCGCTGTGAAAGGTACAGTAACATTTAATAGCATCTCAGAAGACAACACTGGTTATAAACTTGCTTTTTGGCAGGAAAAACAAAATGCACTTGGTCCAGGATTGCAAAAAAGCCAACACAAAGGGGGAAGATGGGACAGCTGGAGCATCAGCTGTTCTGGGGCAGCCCTGAGCCATTAATGCTCACCAGGGAGCCTGGTCAGGGTGGAGAGTGGCCAGAGCAGCAGATCCCACTGCCAGCCCCACCCATTCCCCAGGCAGCCTTCGCCCCCAGCTCCACCGTGCTGGGCTCTCAGACCCGAATTCTGTGCAGTATTTTTGCATTAAATTAAGACAAAAAAACAACAAAAAAAACCCACAAAACAAAACAGAAAAAAAACCCAACCCTTTACTTAGTTGCCATAATCTCTGCAGTTGAGATGAAGAGGGGGGGGGAAAGACAAAAAAAAAAAAAAAAGGAAGTGAGGCAGCAGAATTTACAACTTTAACAGCAACTGGGAGAAGTGGGAAGTACCGTGCAGCCCTGAGCCCTTCCCTGGCGGGGCAGAGGAGGGGGCTGAGGGCCAGGATCACCTGGCACGGCCCCGGAGGCTTTGCTGTTTACAGAGGCACTGGAAGCTGCCGTGAGCCAGGCCCAGCTCTGCTCACAGGCCAAGCAGCGAGCGTCAACTTTCTTTGGATCCCTCTGAGATGATCCCGGGGTTAGGCGGGAGGGAGTCGGAGGCAGCTGCAATGAGGAGTTTTGGTCGTGGGTTTTTCCCTGTGCTGGGATACAGGTGGTGGGTGCCAGGACAGCGCTGACATCCTGGAGGTGAAGGTGGTCGGAGATGAGGGCGCTCAGGAATGCAGGTAGAGTCCAGGATGGGAGGGGAAGCAGGGCTCAGGCCAACTTGAGGAACTCCTGCAGGGTGTTTTGCTCCACAGCTTCCACGAAGAGCTCGTAATCCTGCAGGGAAACGCCACACTGCTCACGAGGCAGGAGGGGCCCCGAGCCCACGGCACAATCCGGTTCACAGCCCTGGCACCAGCTGGATGACAGGACAAAGGGGGCACAGCCCCGCTGCCACCCAAAGCCCCCCCGCCCGGGTCCCCTTTTTCCTGGCAGCACCTGGTCCCTGCACCTCACAAGAAATAACTTAAAAAGCATCCTGAACCCGTGTGGCAAAGCCAAGGACAGGACAGCACCCAGCACCCGACCCCGGCGCGCAGCGCGAGCCTCACCCCGCAGTACTGGTCCCCGTTGACGATCTGGGGTGGGATGGCTTTGGGGTTGCCTGCCTTGGCCCTCATCTCCTCCCGCAGAGCGTTGTCCTGGGAGATATCCACCAGCTCGTACTTGATGTTCTTCCCGTCGAGGATTCGGGTTACTTCGCTCTGTTGGGATTTGATCTGGAACCCGGGTGGGAAAGGCAGGTTACGGGGAGATGGAGAGGAGCCCCGAGGGTGGGCACACACCCAGCGTGCCAGCCGGGCTAGGCACAGTGCCCCCCGCCTGTGGGTGGCTCTGGGGACAGATGGGGACGGTACAGCCCGAGCAGCAGAGAGGGGACAGCGAGGATGGCGCGGGGGGGCTTGCCTGCCGCACGGACGAGAGGCGCCCACCCCCGGGAAGAGCGGCCCCGGAGCCGCCGGCCCTGCCCGGCGCAGCCGTGCCCGGCGCTCACCTCCCGGGAGCCGGTCACCGAGGTGCTGTAGACCTTGAGGGTGCTCATGGTGCGATCGCGGCCGCTCCCAGCGCTGGCCCGGCCGAGGGAGGCAGGCGGGCGGGGAGGGATGGAGGAGGAGCGGCAGCACCGCCGCCGCCCGGCATGTGACTGCGGGGGCCAATGGGGCCCGCGGCACCGGGCATGCGGCCTCGGCGGGGCCGGCCCGGGACAGCGCCCCGCCGGCACCGGGAGCACCGGGCACCGCCCCGCCGGCACCGGGAGCACCGGGTACCGGGGAGCACCGGGTACCGGGGAGCACCGGGCACCGCCCCGCCGGCACCGGGAGCACCGGGCACCGGGGAGCACCGGGCACCGCCCCGCCGGCGCCGGGAGCACCGGGGACCGGGGAGCACCGGGCACCGGGGAGCACCGGGCACCGCCCCGCCGGCACCGGGGAGCACCGGGCACCGCCCCGCCGGCACCGGGAGCACCGGGTACCGGGGAGCACCGGGCACCGCCCCGCCGGCACCGGGGAGTACCGGGTACCGCCCCGCCGGCACCGCGAGCACCGGCACCGGGAGCACCGAGCACCGCCAGCACCGACACCGGGGAGCACCGGCACCAGAGAGCCACTGACACCGCCCCGGCGGCACCGGCACCGGGAGCACCGAGCACCGCCAGCACCGACACCGGGGAGCACCGGGTACCGCCCCACCGGCACCGCCAGCACCGGCACCGGGAGCACCGAGCACCAGAGAGCCACTGACACCGCCCCGGCGGCACCGGCACCGGGAGCACCGGAGAGCCACTGACATCGCCCCGTCAGCACCGACACCGGGGAGCACCGGGTACGGCCCCGGTGGCACCGCGACCACCGGGCACTGGAGAGCAGCGGGCACCCACTGACACGGCTCCCACCGGCACCGGGAGCACCGGGCACCGGAGAGCCACTGACACCGCTCGCACCGGGCACCGGCAGCAGCCCCGGAGCTGCTCCCTCCCCTCCCAGGCAGGACGGGCTCGCACGAGTGGGTCAGAGCAGCTTTATTGGATTTCCAAACACTCGATACAAAGCAGCGCTGAGACACAGGCTGGCACAGAGACACCGAGCCCGACGGGACCGGGCAGCACACGGGGGAACGGGGGGCACGCGTGGCACCAGGAAGGGGGGACAGGGAGGAAACACCGGCCTGGGGGGTGGATTTCCCAGGATTTGCCCTGCAGCAGCAGCAGACAGCACACGGAGCAGCCTCCGGGCCAGAGGGGCTGAGCTGTGCATGAGGATGAGGAGGGGACACAGCCCAGCTGCTGGGACAGAGCTGTCAGCCACAGTAATCTCACCTCAGAATCACCTCTGCAGGGGCAGAGGGCAAGCCTGTCCCCTCACAGCACCCATGAATGAGATCTTGCACCCCCAAAGCAAAGGGGAGGAGGAGATGGTGCCCAAACCCCCTGAGAACCTGCAGAGCTCCCGGCAGTCAGGACAAACGGCTTCAAAAACAGCCCTGGAAATGTGTTCTGCTCAGGAGACAGCACCAGCAGCCTGGGGACAGACACAGCCTGGAACAGAGCACCCAGGGAGAGCAGGACAGACAGACAGACACTGCTGCATGCTCCCCGTGTGGGACAAACCAACCAGCTCCTGGCCACCGTCCCCCATGGTGGCCAAACACCGAGAACAAAACAGATTTGGTCTTGAAATTTTAACACAAAGGAATAACAAAAGCATTTCTGCCAAAGCCAGGCCTCACAGCCCCAGTGTGAACCAAGAGCAGCCACACAACACAAGTGTCAGCAGGGCTTTTCCCTGTCACAACTTGGTGTCTTGCTCTTAACTCGAGATGAAAAGCCAAGTTCCACCCTCAGACTCAGTACTGTAAAGCTGTCACTGGGGTTAGGGAGGGTGGTGGTACAGAGAAACTGATCCCTCAGGGATTCGTTTAGAAATCCCATTACTTGCAGAGGAGAAGAAAGGAGGGACAGGGCTGTGACAAAGCCCAAGTGGCCACTGCTGGCAGGAAGAGCTCCCTGTGCCACCCCCTCCACAGCAGGAGCAGTATGGCTTTCTCCCAGTAAAGCAGACGTGTGTCCCCAGGGCCACAGAGGCTCCTGGAGGCTCTGGCAGGGGCCACAGACACTTGGGGCTCCCCAGGATTGTTTGTGATGGCTCTAAAAGGCTGTGAGAGGGAAGAGCAGCCCCTCACCTGCCAGTGGATGCATTAGGCACAGAGCAGAGTGGGGGCAGAGGGTTCTTCCAGCTCATTAAGGCACTTCAGCATCAATCCACTTCTGAGTCTGAATCACAGCCCACTCCCAGTGCTGTTTCAGGGGGATAAAAGGCTTAAGGCTTCTGGGTAACAGTGCCCAGGGGGAGCATTTCCAGAGAATTTTAGTGTTCTTTATTCCTCAACTCATGCTGGCTGCTGAAAGACACTGGTTGCATTACCTGAGGAGAGCAGGTCCTGCTCCATCAATCCAAGGCAGCAGCACCTCGATGGAAATGCCAGAAGTGGAACTGGCACACCTGCCTGCCTGTGGAATCCAGACATCCCACAAACACTCTGACAACCCTCTGGTCCCACAGGACCTGCACAGGGAGGTTATCAGCAGGACCAGGGCATGCATTTCCTTTTAGCCATCATTTTAACTGTCACACTTGCATGTTCAGCATTTGACATGCCTGCAAGGCAAGTCAGAATTCATCTCCCAGCATCAGAGACCACAGCAGCTCCAGCAAACACAGCATAAAACACATTCCACAAGATCAAAGCTACTGCAAAGCCCGACTCTGAAGCCCTGAATATCCCAGTCAGCAGCTGAACACTTCTGGCAACAAACCCCCTGATTCCTCAGATCAGATAAATCACACATCCTGTACCAGAGCAGAGGGATGGTAAAGTGCTAAACAGGTTTAGGGTTGTAGGAGCACAAGACTCCTGAGTTTCAAGTGTTCATTCCCTGTCTTACTTTGGGAGTGCTCTTTACTGGGTGATGCAGTTGTCTCCCATGTCCTGAGCGTATCTGTCAGATATTGCAGTCCTCAAGTCCACCACCTCTTTGTGAAGCTGTTTAACCTCCACCAGTTTCTTGGCCAGTCCATCAGGGCTCAGCAGGTCGTCCTTCTCCTTCACAGGGTACTGCACAGCTGTGGGGTCAGAGAAGGGAGTCTCCTCACATGCAGTTCTCAGCAAGGTTCACACACATTTGCAAACCAGCCAGAAAAACCAACTCACATTTGCAGAAGAGGTTCTACTTAACATTCAGTTATTACAACATGCACCTTTGAAGCAAGCCAACCACAGAAAGAGCATTCAGAAGCCCAGAGAGAGCACTTTCCATGCTCTATGTGAGTTATTTAACTCTGCCACAGCACAGAAGAGAAGAGAAGGGTTTTTTCTGCCAGTGCTTGAAGGGAAATGTACTCACAGTGAATGCCCAGGAGCAGAGAGAGGTTGGGGTCCTTGCCCTGAGCCCTCTGGGTGACAATGCTGTAGACAGACTGCAGATCCTGCAGGCAGCTGGCCAGCTCCCCGTGCAGCTGCTGGGCCAGGCAGGCTGTGTCAGCAGGCAGGGGCTGGGCTGTCAGCTGCGCCTGCCGGAGCTGCTCCTGCAGCGTCAGGTTCTTCTCAATCAGCTCCTGGTTCTGCACGGACAGCTGGACACACGGACACGGCACGTCAGTGGGCACCAGGGGCAGCACTGCCACGCTGAATGCAGCTGCTCTGTGCTGGCAGCACTGAGGGCAGAGCTGGTCTGCACCACCCAGCCCTCCAGGCCCAGAGCAGGGAATGTCACTGCCACACGGGACGTGCCCCGTGAAGCTGCACTGTCCCTGCGAGGCCAGAGCACTAGAAGCTTCCAGGAGGTTGTGCACCCCAGCAGGGGCTGTCCTTGCCTCGAGGGCTGCTGCTGGGAGAGAGCTCTGCCCAGCCCTTCAGCCAGGGCTGTGCTTGGCCTCCTGTTCTGCTGCCCCCAGCTGGCAAGCTCGGCCTCCTCCATCCCATCCCCATGAAGCTCCCGAGGCACAGCCTGCTTCTCCTGCTTCCCAGCAGGGCACAGCTCCTTTCACAGCAGCCCTGACAGGACAACTGACTAGCAGGAAGCAGGAGAGATTGAGCTGCTGACTAAATGCAGGGCCTTGCTCAGAGACAATCCATGGTTCATTCAGTCACACCCGGGCACTCCAAACACCCCCTGACCTCTTTCACGGCAGCCCGGAGCTGCTGCAGAGCATTTTCCCTTCTCACTGCCTCCTCCTTCAGAGCTTGGCTTGTCCCCTCTTCCTGGGCCACCTGTTCTTCCAGGTTCTGGAACAGACCATGGGAACACAGTAAGGAACTCATTTCACAGCATATTCTCAAGTTCAGGGTCCCTCCCCATCACCTCTCACCTTGACCTGCAAGGATAACTGCTCCATCTTCTTCTGCTTTTTGTCCACAATCTGGAATTAAAAGCAGAGATATCAGAAGTGGCCACACAGATCCAGTAATACCACCAGGAATTCTCCTTCAGTAGGACAGCATCTCCTCTCCTCCTCTTTCCTGTCCATTTACTGCTCTAATCACAGATCTCCCAGGAGCGGACTTGGAAAAAAGGCACCATTAGATTTATCGGCTAAAACCAGACATTGTGGTTTTTCTTGTGGTTTTTCTCTCCCCTCTTCTGCATTCTGCAGCTTCTCCCCAGCATTACTGGAGAAGTGTGTGGTTATCACATCAAGAACAGCCTTTGGAGCCCTGCAGTCTGGAATTCCAGGAACTGCTGCTCCAGTGCAATTGTCTTTGAAAGTCCCTGATTTCCTCTGAGTGCCTGTGGAGTCAGTGGATCCCTGACTGGGACAGCCCCTTACCTTCCTGAGGCAGTCACACTCCTTCTTCAGAGAGTCCTGTTCCATTTTCTGCCTCTCCCCATCCTGGGCAGGGGGTCCTCTCTCTGCACTCTTTGCAAACTGCTGCAACTTGTCCTGCAAGCTGCAATCAGCAGAACCATGGGAAAAAATAGTTTTAGTTACAATCTCTCCCTTATTTAAGGAGGGAAACAATATGAGGAGTGAAACTAATTTCCTATCAAATATCAGCACTGCCCTGTCTGCATCCCAGCCCAGCACCTGCCAGGGCTGTGCATCACCCTCCTGGTGCAGCAGCTCCTGCAGTGCCAAGATGAAGCTGATTCCTCATTCCTACCTGCGCACAGTGGACAGAAGCTCCATCTCCTTGTGCTTTTGGGTTTCCAGCTGCAGCTCTTGCTCCCTGAAAGCAGCCTGGACATCTCCAAGCTCTGTTTCCAGTGCCAGCACTGTTTCCTGCAGGGCAGTAGTCTTCAGTTCAGATTCCTTCAGCTGCAACAAAAGGGGAGTGGATGTAATTATAGAAAAGCCACCTGAGCAAGTATGTGAAGAGGCAGCATTGCAGCTCAGAGGAGGTTTCACCTTCTGACTCTGTTTCTGGTGGTCCTCAAGGGTTGGAAGATCAGCCAGGTATCGTTCCAGGGTCTCAATTCTCTGCTGTCTCTCTCTGTTTTGTTCAGATTCCTTCTGGCATTTCTTTTTAAGGTTATTAATGTGTTTGTCTCTTCCCTTTACCTGCAGGGACAGTTACAGACAAGTTTAGTTTATTTAATTTCTTATTTACTCTTCAGTCTTCTGTAAGCCCACTCCTTTAGCTTTTTGCACACCACACAATGCCAAAATACAAGATCCCCTTAACTCATTTCTGCTCATTTAGCTAAAGACAGGCTTTTTTTTTTTTTTGTTAAAAGAGGAGGCACTGAAATGCTTCTAACTGCAGGAGGAAAGGCTTTTGCTTGTAAACCATAGTCTACAACGAGATGAGAAAACAGCTGCAATTACAGACCACCACAGAAAAGCTTCACCTCAGCACTACACTGACAAGAAAGCACACCTTCCC